CGCTTTCCGCAACGGGGCGGGTTAGGAGGGTTGCCGCTGGCTGGAGGGTAGGTATAAGGTAGGTAGGCAAACAATGAAGAGTCCCGTCCGTGGCTCGTTTCAAAGCGCGGCAGAATGCATCCGAGACGGGCGCGCGGAGCTTGTGAGAACGCAGCTACCGGCGCCGTAGAAAAGATTGACTCTACGACGAGGCTGGGCGAAAGGAGCAATGGAAACGAGGATCGTAGGGTGAGAAGGGAACGACAGGGCAAACGATACCTCGGGAGCGCGTTTAAACCTTTTCACGTGCATTTCCGCGGAAGACACTTTGTGGTCCGCCCGCGCTCGGCGAAGTCGAAGAATGCGCATTTTTCTCTCTTTCTCTCTTTTCCTCCGGGGACAGGAACGGGAAGCGAACCGTGTCTGCGACTTCCGCGATGCGGTGGACAAGTAGCCCGGTTACACTGAATAACGCACTATACGGCTGAACGTCGTGACGAAATAAGCGAAGTGCGACTCGCACATAATGCTTATATCAAGCGCGCCGAGATTAAAGTCAAAGTATCAATGCTTGCATATATATTTAAACCTAGATTCTTGCTTTGGCACTTAACTCTCCGCGCACAGTCATTGCAGTCATATTTCTTGAGACATATGGTACAATCTAGGTCTTTTTGTACGGTACAATCCGGACAACTTTGAACTACTATAACTTTGTTGAAAATCAATATTTTTGGACACTTCTTTTGCAGATATAAAAAAGCCTTAGCTATAAGGCAGTGACGCGACAAAGTTGAAATCTCCAAAGAAATTTGCGCTATTTTCTGACAGTCTTTACAAAAGAACATAGTACGTAGCAGGTTAAATACAGGTTAAACACGAATATTTAAACGTGCAACATGGAATATATGTATACAAATGTATACATGTCTGACAATTATTGACACACCTGTTGTGTTGTGCAAGTAGAAACTCTGACAACAAACTGAAAACAAAACTTTTCTAGCATTTTGCAAACTACGTAAAAATTTTAATTATTAAGCAAATTATTGGTGAGTGATCACGCACAATACGGTAGATAAACTGTGATGACCACGTCTGCCTTCGTGTGTTTGCACATTTGATCAATATTTTGTTGTGGCAACTATTTATTTGGGCAAGTAATATCCTCAATGTTCTCTTCGTATATATATATTCTATGTTGAAGGTTTAAATATTTGTATTTAAAGACCAAAACTCTATAAAAATATCGAAGCATTGGTACTCTTACCTAATTGGTCCTTCTACCGGATTTCTCCGCTTGGCAATCGACATCTCTCGAAAGGGACAAGAAGCCATAAACGTCAGAGGTACTTATCGTTAACATTACATATCACGGCCGTTATCTCCATTGGAATAATTTACAGCAGTTTTCCGATGGAATTTACGTGATATTTAATGCACGAGTTGGGTGAGTTACCGTCGGGCCATTTTGTACAGTGACGTTACATGTCCGGCGCCGGTGTAATTTTATTGCAACAAGTGATCGAGTAGACTCGAGTATCGGGTCACGGTATCGGCTCTTTTACGAGCCACTTCTATCTCTAGCTCTCTCCAAAAGCGGCCGCTAACGCCGTCTCGATACCACAGTTTCTTCGCATGACCAAGCCTTGCTGGCCAGCGAGACCGGCAAATCGTCGTGTGTAGCCCTCCCCGAGCTCGCCATAATCGAAGCTGTAACGAGCGTTCTCTTACGTCACGCGGAATTGCCAATTCCCGGGGGTACCTCGGCCACGCGCCATAATTGAAGCCGCACGTTTCGATAAACTCGATCGTAGAAACTGTCGCGCACAAATCGACGTAACCGCCGTATAAACAGAGCGGGCCGTTAGTTAACTCGCGCCGTTGTTTCGTGGAAAGGGAGCGGATCGAAAGAAGCTTTGCGAATTTCCACGAGGACGAACGTGAGTCGCATGCTACGAGCAATTCTACCCGGTAGCCGCTTAATTCGTATTAATTACCGGACAATGTCGTCGCTCGGTCGCTAACCAAGCATCCCGCTACTATCGGGTAGCTCTCTCGTGGCGTTTCAATTCAATCCCGCCCGCTTTGGTTTCCGTCTCGCGATTGAGAGCTCCACGGTTGCCGATGTGCCGACCGGAAGTCTCTTTCTTCCCCAACCCGATCGTAACATTCTTTTCAGTCGCGTTGTTGTTCGATCGCGATTTTAATTAACGTGCGTAAACAGTGAAGAGTGCCAGGTGTAATGCCCGCGGAGTCGCGCGACGGCCAACTAAATCCATTTTTCATAGTTCCAAAATTCCCGTAATCACGGGATTGCAGCTCGTATGGAAAAGGGATTTAGCGAGTTTCGGCAATCTCATAAACAGTCCGCGTGGGGCCGGACCTCCTTCGCGTCGAGGCACACGAGCTGACTACCCGCGCCCTTAACTCAGCTTTCCCTCTCCTTCTCCGCGAAACTCGATTATTCTCGCGCCTTCTCGCCTCGCGGGCATTTCCACTAGTCGCGTGAAAAGAAAAGGTCGTGAATTAATCGTGAAACATCATCACTGCGCCGCGAAGTCTCCTCATATTCCCCCATCCCCCTTCTTCCTCTCCCTCACTCCGGTGCCTCGTTCGCCGACGTCGCTCATGAATTCCGCGGTTCCCGCGCAGGAACAAAACGACCGGGGCCAGCAGCGACGATTGTTCGGGCCATTCGGAGACGACCCGGCGAGAGAGGGTGAGAGACTCGAGACGGGGGCGTAAGGATGGAAGATGATCCACCCCCGGCCGAACTTTGAGTTTCGTCGAAAGAAGGGCGGCCTTTGTGCGCGCCCGAGATCGCACGGAACTACCGTGTTCTGTCGCGAATCCTCTTCCGGCCTCTCCAAGTCGCCTCCATTGATCCAAGTTCGGAGCTGGGGCCGAGGAAAAAAGGCCTGACGGGTAAAAAAGAAACGAGGGGCGGACGAATTATTCCCGGGAGCGATCAAGGGGGTGGAAATCTATCGCGAAATAATGAGTTATGCACCATTGATTCTCTCCTCCATGCGCGCGCGGGAGAGGGTAAGTCGTCGTCGTCGTCGTCTTCGTCGTCTTCGTCGTCGTCGTCGTCGTAGTAGTAGTAGTAGTCGTCGTCGACGCTCCGCCGCCGGCCGCCTGCTTGCTCGCGTTCATTTCTCTCTGTCATCGCGAAGGAGGGCCGCCGATGTCTTAATGAATTCGGGAGGAAACAGCGACGAGGAGTTTTCGGAGTGAGATTAACGACCGGCGTGGGATTGTTTAAATTTTACGGGGGACAATGCGTCGTTGTAAATTTTCGGTTTGTGATACGGAATTTACGGGCTCACGTAACTTTCAGTCTATCATACGCAAGCGGTGCCTATCAGCGTAATTAATGCAACCCTCTGTGAGATAAGTTTGATGAGCTTATACATATTTATATATATATTTGTTTTTCATAGACGCAGAGAGGATCTAAAATATCTAAATGATGAAAAATATTTATTCGCTGTGGATATCTACTTAGCGTATCTATTTAAACTCTCTTATTTATAAATTGGATAAACAATTACTTTCATGAAAAGCTGAGCTTTCAAGAAAATTTATATCTTCTTATTTGAGAGTGTATATATAAGTAAATATGAGTTATTAGTATCCCTACCGAATAATTTCTCAGATATTCTTTCTCCTCATAAATTTTTCAAGATTTCAAAATAGCATTACTTTAGTGATTGCGATTAATATCATGAAATTAATGATTTTGATACAATTTTGTGCACAATCCGCTGAGAATTAATCCGCTAAGTGTTAATTTTTCGGTGCACACCAATGCCTCATGACGATACGCAACGTAAAAAATTAGATTTCGCAATGCGTCGCGAAGCTGAAAGGGTTCCACCTTGAAAGCAGTCGCGCGCGAAAGAATCTGCCATGAAGGTTCCGGCAAGAAGGTTAGGAAGCGACGGAAAAGAGGTCAAAGGCCAAAAATCTATTGCAAAATAATAAGTTATCTCCCGACGACTTTTGCCGACGTGTCTTCCGCGGCTGGCTTCTCCCCGAGGTTACCTCATTATTTCTAACTGATGACGCCATAATTCAGGTTCCCGCGACGTACAAGAAAATGGACTTCCCGGCCTCGTCTTGCACTTTGCCGAGCTCCTATGCGACATGGCACCCGTGTCTCTGGTTTTGCTATTCCATCCAATTAAATGCCTAATCAATTATCCCGCGGGACGAGCTGCCGCCCTTTCTTGTAGACATCTTTGCAACCGCGCTCTTATACAGCTCATTACGATAAGGCATGCGAGAGCCATTGTTCGCGAATCCCGTTCTAAAATACACCAAATTAGCGTTTAAAATCCTTCGCGTTATCAGCTGAGAAGGATTTCATGGAAAGAAATAGTATGGTTGGCCCATACATAAGTTTGGTTGTGCCAACCAGATTTAACAGCGAAATACGGAATAACTAATTATGTGATTGCTGCGATCTCAGAACGATTGCTAAGTTACAGTGACAATATCTCCAACCAGAGTGTATTCATGGTAAGTATCACTTCAACCGATTTCTGGTTGCCACAACCAGATCACGTGTAACTGCATTGATATAGTAGATGTGCCAAAGAGTCATATCAGTCATACACATTACCACCACACGAAAATAACTAGTGTGAGCTGACTATGCTGTTTACATCTAAATATTTCTGATTATATGTGCACTATATCTTTTCCTTTTTATGTCTGCGAATAGAAACAAACATTTCGTTCGTTTACATTTCCTATAATCGGCTTCTCAACACTTCTGTTCAACAAAAAATCGAGAAGAGAGAGAAATATAAATTTATTAGTTCCATTATGAAAATCGAAGGTCACGAGTTGCGTGGAAAACTCGGTGTACTACATAATGGTTCTCTTCTTTTCATTTTCACTATTGAGATCAGTTAACGCGTATTATCATTCGAATGCATCTGAATAATTGCATTCCGCTCAGCAGGTGCATTATGAATACTAAAAAGCTTTCGATCGATTTCGTTTTGCAGGTTTCCGGAAATTTACACAATACCGGGCAATTTCTGGTATTTAGGGCAGACAGAGAGGCGAAGATACGAGTCAATATAACGGGTGGTCCGCTCGCTTATCACTATCAGTTCGAAGAGATATACATCCACTACGGATTGGACGATAATTATGGTTCCGAGCATCGTATCAATAACTATGCTTTTCCTGCTGAGGTGAGTTCCACGTAATATATTATACGAAAAGGATAAGGGATTCCTGAGGGATGCATGATACTATAGCCCGAGTGTATACTTCGATCTACGAGCGACGTCTCGTCACCTTTAAGAATGTTGCATAAAGCATGAAACCGTGCGCGAGGAATTTTTAGCTCGTGAAATTTCTTCGTGTATATCGAACGCGCGGAAGTCAATCTTCCCGGATCAATAAATAATGCGGAGCGAAATAACAGTTTTTTTCGGATTTCCAGTTAGTTAAACGTATCACGTATTTCACGTTACGTTCAGCGTATGGAGACTGGAGCTAGATGTTCCATATTTCGGAATTTTAAAGTTATAACCTTTCAGACAAATAATTGTTGCGACTGACTGTACAAACAAATGATGAAGGCAACTTCTTCTTTGTGTTAATACTCGCTAGTTAATCGTATATTTTGTTTTGTAATAACAAAAATATAAACATGTTGCACAACGTAGCCATCTTGCCCCGATACTGTGTTCAGGATTCTAGTAGCGCAAGGTAAGAAGGCTACATATAAAATATGTATTCTGATTAGTAATTTCTCGCGAAAGGTTTCCACAGTTCTCCTACCAGGCTTTTTATGGGTCAATTTTACCTTGCGCGTCACCCATATCCTCGATTCAATCGTTTTATGAATAAAAATTGCTTTTGTTATCTGGAACAGTATATCATACATTTGCAAGGAACTTTATTCTAGCTAGTAATACGTTGCTTAACTTTATTAATTTACAAGAGAATATTAACACAAGATTTTTCAAAAATTTGCTACAGTTTTTTTTTTTTTTTTAACTGTAATATTATTCCAATTTTAATGAAACTCGAGGAAAAAAGTAGCTATCTAAAAAAACTATTTCGCGATTTTGTCTCTTTTTCTCTCTTTATCTCCCTCTCTCTCTCTCTCTCTCTCTCATTCTTCTCAAAATAAATAATAAAAAAGCATGTGAGCAATATACCTCTGGAGGGCTATCTACTCAATTTCTCCTATTTAAAAGTGCTTGTATTTTTAATAGACGGATAGCATTTGCACAGAAAGAAATCCATTTCAGAGATCAGCTCGAGTATTAATTACAAATTAATGCACGTTTTAATTCCCGTACTGTTAACATATTCCCTTTTCCTCTAGTAGAGTCTATACATGCACGTTCGCACCAGTTACAAACCGGTCGGAAAATTCACGAGGAAATAATACGAGAAAAGTTATGTAAAGAAAATAATGATATCTCCGAGCGAATGGATAATTCTTCCAGGAGTGCGCGCCTGATGCAAAGAGAGTCGTTTTAAACGCGTATGCGCGATGTATGTGCACTGTGCCTCAGTTCCGCGTGCATATTATTAACTAATTATAGTTTATCGTGCGGAGCCATAGAGAAATGATACTTATAATCCCGTTATAACAACTGCAACTCGGATTTTCGGTTGCGCCGACCACAAACGCGATACAGACAATCATGAAATTCTAATCACGCCATTATCCTAGCAATCGCTTTACAAAGCGACAAATAATTAGGATTATCGTGTAATTTGCAGTTTGCCAATTAATTATAACCGCAACACAGTCTGACCGTGCCTGTGATGCGTGCACGGCGCACGGCTCCGTCGTAAAACTCTACATATTGGCATACGTGATTTCGTTCGCGAATGAGCTGTACGCGAAATCATTGCCGTAACGAGAACGAAGCGGAGTGGAGGAGGATGACCCGAGGGTGACGATATAATTAATTGAAATTAATTACGTGCCGGCATCGTAACGAGACAAATTAAACATTCGTTAAACGGGACATGACGGCGACCCAATTAACTGTGACCCGCTTATTTCTCTCGAAAGCAAGCGAGACCCCTTCCGCTTTATGCAATCCAATTTTCTTAAACCCACAAAATAATGGCGTGATCCGTGGCTACCGTAGCCACGATGTTTTGTGTTGCCAAATTGGAAAGAAAGAAAGAGAGGGGAAGGGAAAGGAAGAATCACGATGACGTTGGATGATTGGTTTGGATTTATAGAGAATCCGTTTCACGAGATAATCGGGACTCGGAGAGAATAAGCGCGGTGCGGATATCGTAAGGAGCGAAAATAAACGCGTGCGATATTCTCGGCAAGATAAATTGCGATGGAAAAGTTCGCAACGGGATGTTGGCGAGCGGATTCCACGCGAAACGTATTACCAAGTCCGCTAAAAAATTAAACTTCTGAAAACGCTCGCGCGGTTGATTCGGCGGAAATGTAATATCGATTAGTACGCTCGTAAATACAGGTCGAAGGGATACTTCTGCATCCTTTTTTTCTTAATGGCTAAAAAGGTCGGATTAATGAATCCGCGCAACCGGGGGTAATTATCGAGAATCGATAATCAAGAAGTCTAAGTGCATTTGTAGGATATCGGATCGATGATACGACTAACACGGATTTCTCATTTATTAAAACGCGGTGCACGTAAAATTCAATATGCCAATAATAACTAACTTCCAGCTCGCGTAAATCCGTCCTCAGATAGCGGTAACGAGTTACAAGCAGTTCAAACGATAATTCAGTTTGGATATTGCGAGTATGGTAGGCAGATAAACGGGTAGCCAAGTAGTAATTAAGTTTTTACTTCTTAACTCGCTATGTCACTCGGTGAACGACCACGGAGTTTTCTATTCACGCGTTAAGATAAAAATACGCGCATCTGGAAATTTTTATTGTTTTCGTCCTTAAATATTTTAGCTCTTAACATATATAAATATATATACGTGTATCGGACATATATATATATATATATATATATATATATATATATATATATATTCTACTAAAACTACCCGAAGTTGCCTGGGTTATCACAAAGTGTCAAAGGGATGAAATCAGAAGGAGAGAGGGTGAGGTATCTGGATTTCATATGGTAACTTATATCTTTCGTAAAGTCCTAGCTATGCAAAATTTGATCCTAGTCACTCAAAGGGTTTAAAAGTCTATAGAAAACAGATAAGCAAACATTTTATTTTATACATACAGAGGTTAGAAGTTTAACCCTTTATAGGGCACTGGTACATAAGTCATACCAGCAGCACAGAATTGGCCGAGAGAATCGGGAGTGGTTCTAAATGCTTTTCCTGAATGGTCACTGGTATAACAGTTATACCAGTTGATACTTCTTATCAAAAATTTTTTTTCAGTCTCAAAAATGATATTAAAATATCTCTAAGAACTATTTTAATGAAGTTCAAAAGAAAAAAAAACTCATTTGTCATATCCAAGAAGTGCCCTATAAAGAATTAAATATCTGCATGTAAAGATCAAAACAGTAAGAATGTCCTAAATTAGATATATATTTGGGAATTGGTACTTTTACTTCAACCCTTTAAGGTCCAAACGTCGATCCCGTTCGTGTAAATTTTTCTTTTCATAAGATAATCTTAAAAGACGCTTCTAGTGAAGTTTTGTAATCCGAATAAAATTGACCGTCGCGAGAAGTACAATTTTCCGAAAATACATAATTGTGTACATTTATGTTTTCGTGTGCGCTCTAATTACAGAATTTAATAAATCTCATAACTACGATAATAAACATAAAAGTGCTAACCTTATATCTTAAGATAACAATGCGATAAAAAATTAGGAAAATAAACTTTGCTTACTTTTTTTCTATAAAAAACTTTACACAATACTGAGCATCGATGCTCAGCTGATGCACAATACTGAGCCGACGATTCATTCCATTTTGCACATAATCGCCACGTTGATTTCTTCAGTTTCTTCACTATTTTATGAGTTAGAACAAAGAATATAGTTCTATCTAGGATGGGTCGCTATTACATATGTATTATATCGACTGAATCATTATCCTGCTGATATAAAAATTAGATAAGATCTGAAAATATTGTGTGTTGAGTTTTAAAGAGTGATGAGCTTTAAAGTTTATATATTTATTTCATCGGCCTTCTCCCTCTCTTTTTTGTCTTCGCCCCCGATACGCTCTCGATATGCCTCGATTCGAAGAGGCTACGTGAGAAAAAGGGTTGCGAACACATCGCTGATACCACAAGACACCAGGAAAAGCGCCAAATGCGACTGGCCATTATATCTTCGCGTCCTTGGTAAGTAACGGGCTTTCAATGGGGCCGTGAATCAAAGCCAGTCACCTACCATCGTACCACCGTACGTACGGTTTACCACCTCGCGTCTAGCTTACGCCGCTCTTCTATATAGAACTCCTACGAGCGCACGTGAATTAATTTGGTAGTTGCAAGAAGAACGGACTCGCTATTTTCTCCGTTGCCAAATCGATCTAGTTAGTCGACGAGGTTAGTAGTCGCGGTTTATCAAGCGAGAGAAGTGCCACTGAGATGATTCAAAATCTATCGTGCCATTTTGCATGAGGATTCGTCTAGTTGTTCACACGAAAAGCGACTTTACGTAATTCTTCTTTCACCCAATCTTAATAAAACGATCGAATAATATCTTTAAGCCTACGGATATATTTATCCGGAAAAGTAATCAAAGCGAATATTATTTCATCTAACCTGATGTCTCCCAAGTTTGATCAAAGAAAAATGGCACATTAATTGTCGGTGGGATCAAGACGTTTATTAGGGATAAAAGAGGGATGATAGCTTATCAGGTATACGCGGGGCGTATCGAATTTCGGTAACGCGGCAGATAGTTAGGGAAGTGCCAATATTAGGTATATAAATACAACACGATAATCGCGGCATGCAACGTTATAGTCAATAAAGAGAGCATAACATGTTTATTGATCATTAATTCAATACTCCCGGCGGGGAGAGCAAACACAATTACATTCGATAACGGAACACACGGCGTATTATACTACGTGCACCATAATGCTTACGCTGAGTATTCAATAGGCTTCTATGTATTCAATGACGAAAGTTACTTGCTCAATTTGGAAAGAGATGCTTTCAATGGCCGTACATTGATACAAATGACTCGAAGCTGCGAAATTGAACATGCTCTCGTCCATTTTTATCACTCGCA